GGCACTATTCTGACATTTTTGATTGCTGTCCCAGCCAGTCCAGAAAGCTCAGTGACACAGCACACTGCTGTCACTGCAGTTTACAGTGCTTTCTCAGCCCTCAGAAGCTGCTTGAACTGTTTCTGAAATGTCAGAGTTGCTGACTGCAGACTCCTAGGCTTTTTTTTTTTATAGTCCAAATCTTTAACAACTGGTGATGTTGATATGGATTACCTGCTATAACACACTGGTTTGTCCAAAGTAAAATCCAAAAGGATTCTGAAGATGCAGGTGAACATCTGACACCTTCTTTACGAAGTCACAGGGAGCCGTGGCAAGAACAGTGGTATGCAAACATCCCTCCCTCTATTCCTTTCTTCTACCAGCTCTACAGTATTATTAACCTGTTATCAATATAAGAGACTTCATTAGGCATGCTTACCTTTGAGAGAGCGAAAGGCCATAGGCTTTACAATTGTATCCACTTTCCTCCCATGGCTATGAAATCAAACAATTACTCATACACAGCTCTTTCCAGAACTCCCCCTCAAACCATGGAACCACTAAACAGCAACCACAGGGAAGCATTAGTAAAGACTAATATTCTATCAAAACAAAGGATTGTGAATACAAGTACTGCAAGAACACAGGCAGAGATGTCTGCTATTTTCTCTATTTCATTTTTTTCCTTGTTTCCTCAATTTATTGGACAAGGAACTATTTACATTGACAAAATCAAATGAAACTAGATCTTTGAATTTTACAGCTGCTGTGTAGGAACTGAAATAGGGAGAGGGACTACATGGCCTTTTACTTTTTCCATTCTCACAGAGCTTCCTGAGGTGATGGAAAATAATGAAACTTCACTGAAGTCCACAAAACTGTGGTTTGCACTTTTTGTGTGTCTGACTCACGGGATTTAAAGCAGAAGAGTATGAAATACAGAAGAAATTATTGAGCAAACTAATGCAGGGAAAGGGCTGATGAAATGTCTGCTACTATAAAACTGCATGTTTAGATCTTACCATATTCTTGGGAATAGTAAACTATTTTTCTTACATGAAAGATGATACAGAATCCTTTTAACTGGAATAGTGTTTTTTTACACCAGTGATGAAAAATATTGCTATAGTTCTATTTTCTTTATTATTTTGGCCATGCAAAACAAAACATCAACTGATCTTTAAGTAAATCTGGCATTTGTATACCAACTTTGTACTATTCTGTTTAAAGTCCTTATTAATATTGTTCATAGAAGTATTTTCATTTCACAAGGTATTTTAGAGCTTCTTATTCATGTAATTTAAGACAGTGAGCTATTTGGGGAGAGGCAGAACAGGGTGGATTCAATTAAAAATATTCTACTGCTATGCATTTGCTGCTAAATAAAATTAATTTATATATAAAGAAAACATTAAATATTAAAATCTCCTGCCAAAACCCAGGCTTCATAACTTGAGTGGATGGAAAAGCAGTACTTACTATAACAGAGGGAAAAATTCTCACTTCAGCCTGCAGGTGAGAACATACCAACAACATAACCAAATTAAGAAAATTAAAGAGGGAAGTAGGATCTATTTTTATTAAACATTTCTGGTAATCTCGGTTTCAAAATTCAGCTCATTTGTTGCAGGCTATTCAGCAGAGGTGAATTTAAGGCTTCCTGTATACTTACAGATATTCACTTTCCACTTTGCTCAGAGAAAATAAATACACAAAAAATAATAACAACGAACAAATAGAGGTAAATACATTATTATTACAAGAAAGTGTTGATAAATGGGCACAATATTTCAGCTAATAAGTTTCTGTAAAATATTTTTGTACTACTGACCTAATATAATCACCAAAATCTCTTACAAAAGAGACTCTTCACCCCTGCTGCTTGCAGGGAGGCTATCTGGTAGTTAGTTCACACAGAAGCATTTAATATTTTTCAGTCCTGCACTAAAAGCCAAAGCTGGTTCCACTGTGCAGCTGGAATTTTCATGTTCAGATGACAAACACACATACTGCACCCTGCTCTTGCACATGTGAAGAGATAGTGACTCCCACACTGATAGTAAGCAAGATAGGACTATTTTTTACTTCTACTCAGCTATTACAAAGTCAGAGGCATATTTTAATTTATAGTCACTGGGTTACACACATCTGGTAAATATGACTAACTTTTCTTTTGCACTAAAAAAAAAATTCTGCTACAAGTAACCTTCACAACACACAACACTGCTCTTTTCCAGATGAAGATGCATCCAAGGGGTTCATCTAACAAAAGAAAGGAGTAAGTTCTCATGGAAAGAGCTCTCCTCTTCTGAGCCTCCACACCTCAGGAGCCTGCCCTTCACCCCACTCAGTGCATCACATTCCCAGGCTGACACCAGAACAAGCACTGAACCCAAAACTGCAGAAGTACTAGACAGTTCACGAGATTTACTGAGGACTTAGTTATGGCCATTAATTTCACATGAAAGGCACTTCTATGTAGCAAAAGCTGCTACCAGGACAAAGCTTGAACATAACAGATCTATTGAAAAATAAAGGTAAGGTTTCTCCCTGCCATCAGCTTTAGCACACCATTACCACCACAGTCTGCCTGCTGCCATTGAGCCTGGCTGTGTACACCGTGCAGCTCCTCTCTCCTCCAGCCAGAGACTTCAGGGATGTGGTGAGCTGTATCCTGACTATTCATCTGATGAAGGCAAAACACAGACAGCATCCAACTGTCACTGCAATAACATCTGGAAACACAGACACCTCCACAGCTACTCAGTACCCACACAATCTTCCCCTGAGGTAAACACCACACAGCAAGCAAGGTCTTCCCTAATTGGCTGGCCTTCTCCAGAAGGTTCTGGAAGTGGGCAGAGCAGCCAATCACAGCTCTTGACTCTGCCCAGGGGCTCCCCTCATGCTGGGGCCACATAGTTTGGGCTTGGTGAGCCTATTGCTGGCCCCTGCCATTACCTCTGTTCTGGCCACAGGAAGCTCTGGAGAAGCTGCTGTTACACAGCATGGCCAGGACAGGCTATGGAGGAACGTCATAAGGCAGCTTCAAGGAGAGGCGGTAGGAGAGGGGCACAGCAGTGTGGGTTGGGGCAGAGAGACATGAGGGTGCCTCTGGAACCCCCCTGTCAGTGCTAGAGCAAAGCCAGGTGGGAGGTGGTTGGCAACCAGAATAGTCCAGCTCTCCCTGTGCATTTGCTAATAATGGTCCTTGGTGCTGTGGTAAGGATTGAGAACTTACACCTAAGCTTTGTCCCTTCCTCATTCTCCTGAAAACGGCCCATGCTTCTTAAAGTAAGGGAGATAAAGGGTTTCTGCTCTGAATCTACTACTCATTCTAAAGAATTGCCAGGTAGGTCTATTTAAGCAATTCTCCTCCCCCAAGGAAGAAGCTGTGAGCTTGAACTCAAACTTAACTAAAATTTCTTATAAAAATATTTTCTCCAGAATTCCTTTTTCAACTAGGAACAAACAGACAAGTCCCAAACTCTACCTTTTTGCTTGGAAACATGCAAACATTTCCTGTAGATATGCTCAGCAGAAAAAATGACATGCCTACATCAAAATGATCTGGCTCTATTCAGCATTAAACCACATCCTCCCGCACTGGTGTGTGACTTACTCCCCTTTTGCTGCAGTGACTCGAGTCGCACACAGCGCTGTGGCTGCACTGTGTGAAGAGCTGCGGTGGACACAGATTACCAACGTGCCTGACCCCGAGGGGAACTGAGAACCTAAAGCATATTTTGTCATGAAGTTTAGTGGTAGCACGAGCTCCCGAGTAAGATTTTCATGTGTATGAAGTGAACCTTCTACTCAGCCTAACACCAGAACTATTTGAGTTTCTGCAACAGATGTTCACTTCCCCTCACACCCCCTCCAACACTTTCCATCCAGAAAGAGGTTTCCAAAGAAGCCTTCCTGCTTTCTGACCACATCTGTCTCAGAGGAAAGATCCGTATGTAATAAGACAGGGTTTAGTCTGGAGAAACTTTCCCAGAGACAGTCAGAAGCACCAGACTGACTGCTGTCAGATCTGAGTTCAGATGTGTTTCTCACACACACGACTCTCAGGCATTAACCTCTATAAAACTGGCTGAGCTCTTATCTTTTGCACGTTGAGAATAATGAAAAGCATTCTCATTCGCACTTTCAAATAGCGCAGAGAGAGTGGAGTGCTATAGTTTTGACAGGCACGCGATTTCAAGCGTATTCCGTGACTCTCGCAACCTGCTAAAGTCACACACCCACTCCATCAGTACAGCCGCACACCAAACGGCCTCGTCCCGCTCTTTCCCGTCACTGGTACCGGCTTTAACCTCCTCCCAGCCGCTGGGTGCCTGTTACGTGTCCCTCCCCCCCCCGCAGCACCCGCTCTATCGCGACACGCCCGCATCCCTCTCGCCAGTTTCCCGCCGGCGGAGGGTTCCGCGCCCGCCGCCCTGCGCGCTGCGGCCCTGTGGTGCAGGGCGGCTCCGGGGTGTGCGCGGCGCCCCCCCCGCCAGCCAATGGGCCGCGTCCTTCTATTCGCTCGGCGCAGGCGGTGGCTTTGCGGTGACGTCAGACCCAGATGTTGTCCCGGGCCCGCCCGCTCAGGGCCCGGCGGCTCCGCGGCGGGCAGAGCGCGTCCTGCTGTCACACAGCGCGCGATGGCAGCTCTGCGCGCTCCGCCGCCGTGTCCTGCCGCGCGCTCCGCAGGGCAGCACTAACTCATGCGCCAAGCAACAAGCTGCCAGTGCCGGGATCGACCTGCGCTTCTCCTTCTCTTCCATTGGACTTCCAACGCTGCTGTTTCTTCATTTAGGGACAAGCTGGGTGTGATCGTCACGAACAAAGTGTGTTTCTGGTGGCTGCTAAATCAGCCTTTACTTTTACCAAGAGATCCTGAGAAATAAGAGAGGGAAAGGTCTGCTTGCGTAGTCTTTTTAAAAAGGGAAAGAGCAGCGTTGTGGTTGATGTTTTTTTGTTTTTCTGGTTGTTTTAATTTTTCCTCTTCTGTTTGGATTTCTTTTTAAACTTACAAAAAATGGCAACAGCAGCATATGTGGATCATTTTGCAGCAGAGTGCCTTGTTTCTATGTCCAGTCGTGCCGTTATCCACAGTCCCAAAGGGGAGCCTGATCCCCAACTTGATGCAGCAATACCTCCTTCATCAAATGGAGAAGATAAGCGGGAAATCAGAGAAACCGGGAAAGACAATGGATCAACATTACTGGTGGTAGCTAGCATTTTAGCAGATCTGAACCAGCATGTCCCAAACTCACCTGCTCTAGGGATGGAAGAACCTGAGACCTTTGATGTCACAGAACAAATACACATTTCTATGGTTCCTAAGGAGTTTGGGGAAGAAAGTGTGTCTTCGGCTGGTAAGCGTGGAGGAGGAAGAGCGGCCACACCTACTAGCCTGGCTGCAGTAACTGAGCCAAGCCCCAGACAAAAGAACAAACGCACGAGAAGCTGGACTGACCCTGGATCACCCCAGAAAAAGCACAAATGCCACTATGTGGGGTGTGAAAAAGTTTATGGCAAATCTTCCCATCTTAAAGCTCATCTAAGGACCCACACAGGTTAGTTACAATCCAGCCAGAGATTTATTTGTTATAGCTTGGTAATTAAAATGAATGCGGAAAAAAAAACAAAACAAATCCAAACTTGTATTTGGCCACCATTATGGTTTTACCTCTCAGACCTCAAGCTTGGGAAAACCGAACAACAACAAAACAACCCTCTCTGGGAATAAAACCTGTCTGCGCATAGATTCAAAGCTAATGTTGCCCCTTTTTTATAACTTAATGTCGCAGGGAATGGCATGTGGGTTATCTGTGTAGATTGTACTAAGCTGTAATTGTTAGCTGATAGTTTTCTTGTTCGGTGTGTCTTATACTTCCCTTTCCAGTGCTTCTTATCCTCCCCCATCTACATTTTCCTACCCCGTGTTCCTGTCACTACCATTATACCAGCTTATCACTTCCCATGCAAGCATCATTACTCTTGATATTTTAAAATTAAATGTTCCAGAGGCACCTGAAACACTGTGTGTCTGTTTCTTTCTTTAGCAGACACTTGTGTGAAAGCTAGAGTAGGCAGGAAGGCAGATGAGAAGCTGAATGTGAGTCACAAGGAGATATTTATCATAAGTGTAGCGAGGGGGATATGCGCAGTCTCAAAAAAGCTTTTGGCAGCTGGGTAAAACTAATTTCCAAAGGAAAAAAGCGACATTAAAATGCAAACACTATCTTGTTCTGATCAGCGTCCAGTGTTTACTTCTTGGTGAAGACTTACTTGGCCACTTTTTTGTTGTTACTGCAATTCATGAGATATACATACAAAAAGTGGAAGTCTTGCAAGCACCATGAAAGTTACGCACTGAAAGTGTTAGGATAGGCCATTTTGAAACCAGCCCCACGCCTTGCCAGACCTCGTGCCTCTGCCTGGTGCTGGGGAACAGGGTGGCTGCCAGTCAGACAGGGAGCATGAAAAACTGAGGAGACCAATCTCTGCGGAAGGCCCCGTTCATAGCATGTATGACAAGGCACCACACTGACGAGAGCAGGCACAGGCAAGCTGTTCCACTGAGTGATTTCAGACAACAAATTAATTTAAGATCTGTGGTCAGTTCACTTAAAAAGAGTATTAAGAAAAAGGTCATCAGAACTAAGCATGATTTAGTGACCCTTGAACAGTTGTAGCTCCGAGGTGGCAGCCTCACCCATGCTGGTCATACATTCAGTGTACTTTCAGCTTTTCCTGTTGCCTTCCCGAGATAAAGAGCCCTTCTAAACTGAGGGCATGTTCTGATCTCTCTGGGTGAGAAGAAAGCCCCATCAAGTTTGAGCATCTGGATGGATAATTCCCCGTGCTGCACAGCTGAAAGAACAGCATGTTCCTGGCACCTCAGACAGCCTGCCCTGGGCAACTGCTTTTCACCTCCCTGAGAGTTGTGCAAGAAAAGGTGCTTCCACTCGGCTTGCAGGGAATTGTCTCCATTAATTTTCAGTTCTCTTGGCTTCTTATTGCTGACATTTGCCATTGTTCTAAAAGTGAAAGATAAATTTAGCAGTATTTCTGGGTTTCCAAATCATCTAGAGACCGAGGAGAGGAACTCCTGCTCCTGATAAAGAGGAGGGCCGGGCATGACCGCCCTGCGGGAGAAGAGGGAGGGCAGGGCCGGCGGGGAGTGTCGCTCGGGGCTGGGCTGAGCCGAGTCATTCGGGGACACTGGCTTGCCTCCAAGTTCTCTGCCTTTTTTTTTGCGGGTTGTTTTGTTGGCTTTTCCCTCCTTTTTTTTAACTCTTAATTTCCCGTACTTTTTTTTTTTTTTTTTCCATGTGTGTAAAGCTTAAGTGGTTATAGCTGTAGCTAATGGCACTGAGGGAATAGAGTTATGCGCGCATCTGAGAGCTAAAGGATAAGCTCGGAAAGGACTGGTTTTGCCCTGGGAGTGGCAGGACGATTGAGGACTACAGCTTCTTTGTTTTCTTGAGTCTTCAGTGTCTGTGTGGGAAGCTTTAAGCCAAGCTGCCAAGTTTCCCTCCTGATTGGCAACAGGTCTGTCTGTTTGGACTGAGCTTTAAACAGGCTTAAATTCCTCTTACAGAACATTTTCTAAGGTTTGAATTTTTTTCTCTCTTTAAATCGTGACAGGTTTGAAAAAAGCCTGTATAACACTAAGAATTAAGCTAACAGAACAAATTATGACTTCCAGGACTGGCAAGTGTTTGTTTTTACAAAACATGTAATGGATTGTATTGATTTAGAGCAAGAGGTTTGGGTCTGCTCTGCTTCCCAGCAGCCCTGAACTAGTTAAGTAACATGTACACATCGGCCTCCCCATCTGTTGGATGGATAGGGTGATTAACTATCACATTACCAAGCAGTGGTGAAAGTACTCCAAGGACACATGCAAGGTGCTTTAAACAGCTACCCCAATAACTCCAAAATCTGTTTACTAAGAAACAATCAACACCCCCGCCCCCTTCTCCTATGGAGTGGAACTTCTTTTGTGTGCTGTATTACAAGTTGGTATATTTAGGGATGAACTGAGGGCTAAGAACAGTACTGCAGGCTAGAAGATACTGATGATAGTGCTAGAGATATTTGAATAGTGTAGCATATGACCTGCTTTATAAACTGGCTTGTCCAATACCGTGCCCAGAAACTAAAGGCTTTGCTCTTCATGCTTAAAGGAAGGACAGACTAGATTGTTGAGCTTATGCTATGGCAAAGGGATACAGAGACTTCCAACTACTATGGGACCAAATCCAGGCCACACTGGTAGGGACTGAAAGCTGGTACTATTTTGCAGTTGTTTGGTCCCCTATGTGAAATCCTTCTGATATGTATAGCCAGATTTCTGGGCTCATCAAAAAATACAGTGCAGAGGATGCCAATTATCCTATTTAAAGTGGAAGAAACAAGATGGAACAGCCAAGGAAGCAGCATCTGCCTTTTGTCCTTATGCACTCAGAGTACAGCATTTTAGAAGGAAGCTTTATGTTGAAACATAATGTCCTAGAGCAAACCATAGTTTCTTGTGTTTGGTACAGTGTCAGTGAAGCTATATCAGCCTTAAGAATACTTCATTTTTATTAAATCAACAAACCCTTGAACCAGGCAGAAAACATTAGTCACCAGTGTCTTTGCTGTTCTCTTCACCATATTTCAAAGCCTTCCCCTCCCCCTGCATTTCATGTTTATATTTTCCACCCTGTTCTCTCACTGGATGTCCTGGAGTTCAACGTGATCATCAGCCACAAATCCCTTGAAGTTTTAATGTTTACCAGAAGGTTATATTTAGTGTCAGTGGGTAGATGTCAAGTCCAAATTATTTTTCACTGAGGTTCCCGTGGACCTCAGAAGCTGTGTTGTGATCCACAGAGGCAGCACCATGCTTGTCCCAAGTTACTTTGATATATTGGCCTGTGTTTAGGTGGATGAAGAAGCCTTTATGTAAGGTATGGGTCATATGTTTTAAACAGGAGGTTGGTTTTCATTTTCAGTTATAGTACATCTGATTTGCTCCAACTACACTAATTCAAGATGCAGCAGTAAAGCACAGCTGCTCTGAAGTTAGCCTGGATCAAGATGCTATATGTGTGTTAGGAAAGAGATTAACCAATGTATGGAGAAGCAAGTTCATCTGCCAGTGAAATGAAGTTTATCTTCCATTTTAGCACCTGGTGATTGCCAGAAACTTAGCTGGTAAGCTGAAAGATATAGACTAGACTTGGCTGGGCTTTCCTTTATCTTACCTGTACGCACACAGTGACTCTAGAAGTCACTACATGCTCGTGTGTGGCAAGCATACAGTGTTTGTGAAGACCCAAGCCTTTGCAGGAGAGTTTTACAAAAGAAACTTAATCTAATACCTCCTGTGCCCCTTGAGAGCAGAGAACAAGGGGTGCAGATTGCTCTTGTGAAGAGCAGGATGAATCGAATGAGTGGGGACCAGTGGTTCAGTCCATTCTCTGAGCTGCCAGCTGGGCTGCTCTGGATGCCAAGACTGACTAGGAAGCTGCTCTCCCTCTCAACGAGATGCCAGAGGAAATGGGAAAGGCCTTTTCCCAACGCCAATTTCCTACAAGCAAGAGGACAGGCTAATTAAGTTTGTCCCTTTGCATGTAGCTCAGTAATTTCACTGTTAGTGTCTCGGCCTCTAAAGTTTTTGACTTCTTAAGTCAGAAACAGCTAGCTTGCTCTGCATGCCTAACTCACTATCATTAGCGTACACCCAGATTATCAAAAAGCACCAGAGAGCCTCTAGGCTGCTGTGTCCCAAAATACTCTTCTACTGCCTTCCACCTCCACTTTTTGCTGAGTGCATCAAAACCTTTTCTCTAAGGTTTCTCTCTGAGACAGACTCAAATGGTAACTTCAAGACAGCTTTATAAGACAGTTATCTTTAAAGCCAGAGCCATAAGCATTCTTTCTCAGTGTTAAGTAGTTCAGCAGCCTGCTCTTGCATTTTCCTGAAAACTGATAGTCTTGAGTGTCTTTTAATAAGCCTGTATTTCTAAAATACAGGCAAAAATAACGTTTTTGTCTAAACAAAAACGTTTGTCTAAAAACAACGCAAAACTGCAGAACATTGTTTATGTTTGTTTTGAAAGAGCTCTGCAACTCCTTTCTTCCTCTAAAACTTCAACACATTAAAAGAAGTCAGTTGAAACCATAGACCAGCTTCATTTACAGCCCTGCTGAAGGCCTCACCACAACATGCAATTCCAAAGAATGAAGTTCTTAGTTAAAAGTCTTCATCCTAAGCCTGGGTCAATCAATCTTCTGTTCACTGAAGCCAAGAAGCAGCATATATACTTTTAAGTCTCTTAAAATCTTTGAAATAAACACAAACTATAGATGTCTTAGAAGAATAAGTAAACTTTAAAACTTACAGTTTCCAAAAGGAGCTGAAGCCAGGGAGAAGGGCAAAGCTACTTCTACCCACTCCTTTTATCTGACTGGTTCAGGATTGAATAACAGGATTCAGTTAAGTCAGCTGCAAAAAGTTAGGGTTAAATTGGGTGCATGGAGAATCCAATTGGTTGATGGTATTTACCACACACTTGAG